AAAGTCTTATGATTTTCAGGACTTTGGGATGAATTATATATATATATATTTTTTTTTTTTTGAAATATGGAACTCCTAGTATTTTGTTGTTTGACTCATTCATAGAAGCCTTCATTTTATTTTCTTTCAGAAAATAATGTGGATATTTGTACTAAGGAAAGAAATCAATCACTATTTTACTTGAATCCCAAAATACCATGTGATTTCAATGCCGATTGGTTCTAACGTATAATTAATTGGTCTCTAAGGAACGTATAACTTTTCTTTTATATGTTTTTAATAGAAAATATTGTTCTACTTAGTTGATTTAGCATTTCTTTTTTTTTTTTTTTAATTTTAGATATTTTTGCCATAGGGTGTGCGCGCTTGCTGGAGAGACAGAGAGATGGAAAGTGAAAAATTACCCCCTGGGACGGGTGGCCAGTCCCTTCTCCATTCTCCTCTCAGGATCTTGGGCACACATGCACAAGTGCCTGGCGTGAGTTTTAAGCCACCAGGTTTGGAACTCGATCTGCAGTTGACTACAGTAGAGTCCAGTGTTGTAACCATTACACCATCTGCTGGTCCCAGCATTTCATTTTTCAACCACCTATATATCTTGTACAGATTCAGATAATAGTTAAAAATAGGTGGCGTGGTGTTTAAAGGCCCTGCTGACTGCAGTTCAAGTCCTAGACCTGGTGGCTTACTTTCTCACTTTCTCTGTCTCTCTCTCTTCCCTCTTTCTCTCTCTCACTCTGTCCCTCTTTGGTCAAATTTAATCAAACAAACAAATAAATAAAAATAAATTTAAATAAAATAATTCTTAAAAATCTTTTTTTGGGGCCAGCAAGTGGCGTAGTGGTTAAGGCACTGGATTTCCATGTGCTAACTGAGGTTTGAGTCTTGGACCCAGCAGCTTGAAACTCATGCTGGGTGTGTGTTGCATGTGTGCCCAAAATCCTGAGAGGAGAATGGAGGAGAAGGGATTGTGGTGTGGCCATTCACCTGAGGAGTGATTTCTTGCTTTCTGTCTCCCTGTCTTTCTCTGTCTCTGGCAAGCGAATGTACCCTATTGCAGAAATGTCTCAGAAATAAATAAATAAAAACTTTCATTAATGTGTTTTTTACATGTTTAGGTTTCAAGACTGAGGTGACATTCCTTTTTTTAGAGATAGCTGTGTCACAAATGTCACTTTTATATAAATTAATATATATTAATAATAGGTTTTTTGGAATAGAAGTCACCCTTTCTTAAATGAGTGCTTTTGTTTTATTTTAGAGTGACAATTTGGAAATAAGCAAAGAAACCAAAGACAAACGATTAGAAGATGGCTATTTCAGAATAGGTAATGTCTTTTACTTCTCAGAACCTACTGCTAAAAATATTTTAAATTCTTTTCAAATGTCAGGCAACTTGGGGATTTCAGTGACTCCAAATTTGTTTGTTCTTATGTTTTTGCACTTAACTGCATCATCTTGACCCAACCAGGGTTTCAGATCACAGTTTCGTTCACTGGTTCCTCTTCCTTTTGGGTGGCTGTCGGTGCCCGCTGACAGAGTCTGCTGTCAGCTGGTGTCTCATTGCAGGAACTTGCTGCTCCTCTGGTCTCTGGAGTCTACCGTCAGCTGGCGTCTCATTGGAGGAGCTCGCTGCTCCCCTGGCCTCTGCCAGGATCTGCACTTCTGGGCGATACACCTGAGTTGAGATGCCCATGACTCAGCTGCTTGCAGCCTCAGGGCCCTCTGCTCGGAGTGTCCGTGAGAGAAACATTCCTTCATTGCTCACCATGGTTTTGCTGTTGCAACTAGCTGAATACACACATATATTCACACACACATCCAACGGACAGTGTTGGGACTAGCAGATGGTGTAATGGTTACATTGCTGGTTTCCCATGTAGTCGCCCATGATTCAAGTCCTGGACCTGGTGGCTTAAAACTCACACCAGAGGTGTGTGTGTGTGTGTGTGTGTGTGTGTGTGTGTGTGTGTGTGTCCAAAGTCCTGAGAGGAGAATGGAGGAGAAGGGATTGTGGCATAGCTTCTCACTTCATCATGTCTCTGGCGAGTGCACGCACCCTATAGCAAAAATCTCTCTCTCTCTCTCAAAATAAAATGCACAGTGTTATTTAGCTTATTTTAAGATTTAATATAAATATCGTTGTGTAGTATGTATATATTTTTCCTCTCACCATTAGGAGATTCTTCCATGTGAGTATATATCTCTGAGCTTACTCGTTTTCACTTGTGTACAGATTTCCAAGAATGAATATAATGCTACTTGTTCTCCTATTGAATCATAAAGTTTGTTTCATCTTTGTGCCATTTTAAACACGCTGCTTTGAACACATATGCACATGTGTAAGAGTTTCTCGATGTTACATATTATACTTAGGAATAGAAGCAAATTTTCAACTGCAATATCCTCAACTCTTTTTTTATTTTTTTTTCATTTTTTAAATTGGCTTCCTAGAGTTCCTTGTATTAGCAATGGTCAGAAAAAAATAGAAAATTTAAAAATGAAAATCTCATCATGGCAAAGTTTCTTCCCAAAAATAAAAATGAAGATGAAGCTGTTACCAAAGTGAGTTTCTAAATGGTTCATTTGTCAACCAGACAAGAAAAAACCCTTACCGGTGATCGATTACATATGTATAATTATAGCAGCCAAAGGAACGTGTGCAGAGAAAATGAACTTATTCAGCACTATGAGGCTTGTAGCAACAATCGCTTGAAGAGTTGAAGACAGTGGGAACAATGTCATAGTCCACAACAAAGCAGTTTATTCCAAGCGATTTTCTTGGCTCTTGATGAGTTGACACGTTACCAATACCGTTCAGTTATTACCTGAATTCAGTCCCAAGGTTAAAGGGGCTGAAGGTAGGTTCTTACAGATAGTCTGTTGGGGACAGACACGAACAAGAATGTTTTCACACAGGTTGAGAAAACACACATGCGACACACCCTGAAGTGGAAGCTACGGAGATGTGTTACCAGGGAAGGTGGTAAAAGTATGTATGGAGAAGGAGGCTTAGTGACATTAGTTTATCAAACTTGTGAAAATGTAAGGTGTTTACAGCCTCTGTTGTTTATTTTACTGTCCGTCAGCCAGGGACTTTACGGAAAATCTTTGAATTTGTCATCTATCAGTGAATTAGCGTCAACAGTGAACTTTATATGCTGCCAGGGACTCATCATCAGTCCTGTGAGTTTTCGTCAGAACTAGGAGTGGACTGTCTGGACTTTTCCCACCACACATTGGTTCAGTGGCCTAGCAGGGGGAAAAAGTTACTGCAGTTTTCTTGAGCTTGGGTCTAAGATCAGAATTTTTGCAAATGAGAAAAACTGCCTTCAACCACTACCACTTTGAAGGTCAGTTTTTCTGCAGACTTGAAAATGTTTCTTAAGTAATTGAAATTATAAGACAAAATAGTATTTCCATGCAAAACTCACATTGGATATAAGTCTTGATGACAACATTGAATTATAACTAATACTAAGAGCTTTAGCGTTTTTTGTTTGTTTGTTTGAGAGGTTTTTGCTATAAGGTGCGTGCGCTCACCAGACAGACAGAGACAGAGAGACAGAAAGTGCGTAATCACCCCCTCAGGGTGAATGGCCCCGCTGCAATCCCTTCTCCTCCATTCGACTGTGTGGGAGTCCAGCGACATAGCCATTACACTAACTGTTGGTCCCTGTTTTTTTAAGAGTTTTTGCCATAGGGTGCATATGATTGCTGGAGAAAGACATGGTGAGAGAGAAAGTGAGAAACGTCCCCCGAGGGCGGATGGCCTTGTCACAATCTCTTCTCCTCCATTCTTCTGGAATTTGGGGCATGCATACACACGCACCTGGCATCAAATTCAAGCTGCAGGATCTGAGACTGAAACCATAGTCAGCTATGTGGGAGTCCAGCACCCTAACCACCATCCCACCTGTTGGCTCCCGTGTCAAGCTCTTTATATACTTCCTGTGCTGTCAAAAATTAAAATAGGAAGCAAGATCTTCATCCCATACAAATCCACAGTGGACATGCTTTCCAGGCTTTAAACTATAGTTCCAGCAGATTTTAGACTCCCAAAAGAAATTCCATATTTTAAAATGAATTGAACTGTGAAATTGAGGAGTTTTCACCAAACCTTTAACTGGAAGCATCTCATTGGCAGTGTATAGTAGTACTGTATCAGAAGGCCAAGATCAAAGAGAAAGACTGAATAGAATTCCGCACATGCCTTCTAAGTGAGGAATGTATTCCATTCAAATCCTGTGTTTGTGGATTGATAGCAGTATTTGACAGTACCTAGGGCTGTGTGAAAGGATATTTCAGAGGTAAAACAGACAGATTATAATTAAAGATCAGCATTAACAGGTGAGCATTTGTAATCAGTTTTCCTAATAGGGAACATTAACCCCCAGTTAGTCATCTTTTATGTACATTCTTGGTCCTTCTCTATGTACTGTTCTCTTCCAAAACCGACATGAGGCCATATTTTATTATTATTATGACTGTCAGTCCATCCTATATGCATTAGTGTCTACCCCTCAAAAAGAATTACATCCTTGGGCCAACAGGGAGCATGGTGGTTAAGGGCTCTGGACTCCCACATAGCTGACCTGGTTCAAGTCCCAGACCTAGTAGCTTGCTTTTTCACTTTCTCTCTCTCTCTCATTCTGTCCCTCTCTGGTCAAATTAAAATAAATAAATAAGGTTAAATAAAATAATTCTTTAAAAAAAAGAATTACATTCTTTTTAGTATATCTGTGTTACCCCATGTGTATTAAATTGTTATCATATATTGAATTTCATCATTAAAAATTGTATGAAGATATGCTCTCTCTCTATACTTAGATACCTTCCTAGTAGCCTTTATTTTCTTCTTGGCCCATAAAGACTGTTCTTTATAGAAAAAGTTTGCCAGCTCCTGGTTTAGATAAATTTGGCCCAGATTTAACCATTTTCTTGTCACTTTTCAGCCAGTATCTTGGTTTTGTTTTAAGAAGGATATTATTCCTTATAGCAAATATGTTGATACGGAGAATTTTATCTTTTATATGAATTCTTGGTCCTTTTCTACTTGGGTCTTTCAAAACCCTCACGGGCCATGTTTTACTATTCCTGTAGGTGTCAGCCCATCCTGTTCACCTTGCTATTGCTCGTAGACATGCCTCATAACGAGTCATTTATCTTTTTTTTTGAAGAATTATTTTATTTAGCTTTATTTAGTTATTTTAATTGGACCAGAGAGGGAGGGGGGAGAGCTTCTCTATGTACTGTTCTCTTCCAAAACCGACATGAGGCCATATTTTATTATTATTATGACTGTCAGTCCATCCTATATGCATTAGTGTCTACCCCTCAAAAAGAATTACATCCTTGGGCCAACAGGGAGCATGGTGGTTAAGGGCTCTGGACTCCCACATAGCTGACCTGGTTCAAGTCCCAGACCTAGTAGCTTGCTTTTTCACTTTCTCTCTCTCTCTCATTCTGTCCCTCTCTGGTCAAATTAAAATAAATAAATAAGGTTAAATAAAATAATTCTTTAAAAAAAAGAATTACATTCTTTTTAGTATATCTGTGTTACCCCATGTGTATTAAATTGTTATCATATATTGAATTTCATCATTAAAAATTGTATGAAGATATGCTCTCTCTCTATACTTAGATACCTTCCTAGTAGCCTTTATTTTCTTCTTGGCCCATAAAGACTGTTCTTTATAGAAAAAGTTTGCCAGCTCCTGGTTTAGATAAATTTGGCCCAGATTTAACCATTTTCTTGTCACTTTTCAGCCAGTATCTTGGTTTTGTTTTAAGAAGGATATTATTCCTTATAGCAAATATGTTGATACGGAGAATTTTATCTTTTATATGAATTCTTGGTCCTTTTCTACTTGGGTCTTTCAAAACCCTCACGGGCCATGTTTTACTATTCCTGTAGGTGTCAGCCCATCCTGTTCACCTTGCTATTGCTCGTAGACATGCCTCATAACGAGTCATTTATCTTTTTTTTTGAAGAATTATTTTATTTAGCTTTATTTAGTTATTTTAATGGGACCAGAGAGGGAGGGGGGAGAGAGAGAGAGAGAGAGAAAGAAAGAGAAAGCAAGAAAGCAAGCAGCCATATCTGGGACTCAAACTGCAGTTGGCCATGTGGGAGTCCAGCGCCCTTAACCACCACGCCATAGCATACCCAGCACTTAGCTTACTGCTGTCCATGTAGGAGACATTCAGATGGTTAAAAAAGAAATCTGAGTGGATGTTCTTCCACAGTGTCTGCCCCTTCTCTAAAAACAAACCTGTGGCTTGAAAGAGCCCAGACCAGTCACATACCTGCTATCTTGACTGACTG